GTGAGGTGATCTGGGGGTCAACAGCAAAAGAGCGGAACTCAGGTGGCAAGAAACTCTCACATTTCTGAGGAGAGAAGACATGAGGTAGGCCATCAGAGGCATATCATCATGCTGAAGCGGAGTGAGCATTGGAGGCAAGGTCAGAGAAGTGGCAGGGACCATATCAAGGCAAGGCAGGCATTCTGGATGATGGTGAGGACTTAAGTTTTTGCTTTGAGTGAGGTGGGAGCATTGGGAGGGTTCTGAGAAAGGAAGGATGTACTCTGACTTAAGATTTACAAGATCCTTCTGGCTGCTCTGTCTAGAACAGAGTGGAGGGCAAGGGAGACAGCAGCAGTCTAGTGAGGAGGGAGATACTGCAACCGTCCAGGCACTCAGTCCTTTTTCTATATCCCCTCAACGATGGTTGCCAGGATCATCATGTCCAGTCTGATCTTTATTATATCAGTCCTCCATGCTGCAACCAATCTAGTACATCAAGCTACAACACTCCCTTGTTGAAATATCTTTTTTTTAAATTGCCGATCAAGTACAGTTGTCCCCATCCCACCCACTACTCCCCCTTGCCTCACCCATCCCCACCTCCCACCCTCAATTCTACCCCCTTTGGCATTGTCCATGTGCCCTTCATACACGTTCCTTGACAACTCTCCCCCTATTTTCCCTGTTTAAATATCCTGAAAGAGTCCCCAACAGGTGGGCCTATAGGACCTAAGCCAGCCTGTCTCCTGTCAGCTTTTTATCACTTTACATGCTGGTACTACCAAGCTGCTGAAAGTTACTTTTGAACACACCCTTGGTTTTAGACCTTTGCTTGTGCTGATTCTGTTCTCTTGAGGGTCCTTCCCACTTTCTTCAAATGGTTCACTCAGCTCAGGTATCATCTCTTTTCTGAACACCCAAACTTCTACCTTAGATTTTCCTCTAGGACACTGAAGGGATCCACTTACTTCTCTCCAGAATCTACCCTTTTCTTAACACCACCAGTGCCAACACCCTAGTCCAAGTCATCATCACTGCTTGCTGGAACTAGTGTAACAGCTTTCTTTTTCTTTTTAAGATATTTTATTTATTTATTTATTTTTAGAGAGAGGGGAAGGGAAGGAGAAAGAGAGGGAGAGAAACATCAATGTGTGGTTGCCTCTCATATGCCCTCTAACTGAGGACCTGGCCCGCAACCCAGGCATGTGTCCTGACTGGGAATCAAACCAGCAACCCTTTGGTTGGCATGCCGGCACTCAGTCCACTGAGGTACACCAGCCAGAGCTAACGGCTTTCTCACTCAGAGTACACACCAAAGGCCATTCACAATCTCCCCTTTCTCACCTCTGTGATTCACCTTCATCCACTCTTACCCTCACTCCCTTGGCTCCAGCAATAGGGGAGCCTAAGGGCACATGCCAAGCTCATCCACACCTCCCAGCTTTTGCCCTTGCTATTTATTCCCTCTACCTAGAACACTCATCCCCCCCCCCCATAGGCACATGCTGACTCCTTCTAATTCCGGTCTCTGCTTCTTCAATACCTCTCTGGGAATTTCCCTATACAACCTTGGGTAAAGTAACACCCTAGTTCAGAACCTTTTTTATTATTTCCTCATGACATTCACCAGTGTCCGCAGTATCTCATTTATTTAGCTGTTCGTCTCCCCCGCAAACTGTAAGTTCGTCCAGGTAGAGACTTGCACAAAAGTGCACTCTCAACACATGTTCACTGACTTCGGTGCCTCCTATTTAGGCAGCACCCACCCCCTCCCCATTGCTCAGGGCCTCACTCCTCAACTATTAAGCCCCCTCCTTCATCCCTATAGCCTCTCTTCTCTACCCATAATCTCCACTCATCCAACTCCATAGGCCCCTACCCCTTCATTTTCGTCTCCACGCCTTCCAGCCCTGCCCCACATTCCCAGCTCCAGTTTACTCCAACCCCTGCCACCATCACTAGGCCCTCAAGCCTCGCCCCTAAGATAACAACCCAAATCTCAGGTCCTGCCCTCCAGCCTAGGACAGCCACCACCTTCTCCTTCCCTGACAGCCCCGGGCGGTCTGGTTGAGCGTCAGCCAACCTCACCTTGACTCGAACCCGTACTACCTCTCGCTCCTCCTCCTCGGCCGCTGCTGCTTGGACTCCCCCGCCAGGTGAGGGCGCTCTGGAGCCGGCCAATTCCGAAGACCCAGGGGCCGTCGCCATCTCGCCCGCCACCCCCTTTAGGGTGACAGGTGACAGCTGCCTCTCTGAGCCCACTCGTTGTGAGGCGCCCGCAGCCCCACCTTGCGCCCGGGCGCAGGCGCAAAGGGCGCTATGCGACCCTAGCAACCCCTGCCACCGCCCCTCCCACCTGGCCAAGTGGAGGTCGCCTCTGCGCGTGCGTATACCGTACAGTAGCCAGAAGCCCCGCCCCCAGCGTCGGGCATTTTGCCTTACTTCAGCCAGTGCGCAGGTGCGTACTTAGGCCCCGCCTTCCCTTGTCGCGATTTGGTTGTTTGGGTAGTTTACTTATGAATTCTCGTAGTTAGTGTTATAAAGTGATGACCTATTGGAGCGAGAGAACCGAGGGGTGGGGTGGGGAAGGAAGGTACCGTGAGGTGAGGTTAAGTCCTCCTACAGCCTGCGCCAAGTTGGCTCGTGCCTCAGTTTCAGATGATGTCATCTATTTCAAATGCTGTGGCCATCTCTCGTAATGAAGACGCTGAACGGAAAAATAATCCATTTTCCAGAATTTAAAAAAAATTTAAAGATTTTATTTATTTACTTTCAGAAAGAGGGGAAGGGAGGGAGAAACAGGAGAGAAACAGCAATGATATATAGGATTGGTTGCCCCTCTCACACGCATCCAGCTGAGGACCTGGCCGGTAACCCAGGCGTGTGCCCAGACCTGGAATCTAATGACCTTTGTTCGTAGGCTAGTGCTCAATCCATTGAACCACAACAGCCAGGACAAACTTGGCCTTCATTTTTAAAAAATATTTTATTTATTTATTTGTAGAGAGGGGATTTTATTTTTAGAGAGAGGAAGGGAGGGAGAAAGAGGGAGAGAAACATCAGCGTGTGGTTGTCTCTCATGCGCCCTCTGCTGGGGACCTGGCCGGCAATCTAGGCATGTGCCCTGATTGGGAATCAAACTGGCCACCCTTTGGTTTGCAGTTCAGCACTGAATCCACTGAGCCACACCAGCCAGGGCAGTATTAACTTTTTAAAGAATATTGTGCCCCGCCCGCTGTGGCTCAATGGGTTGAGCGCGGGCTTGCAAACCAAAAGGTTGCTGGTTTGGGCACATACCTGGGTTGTAGGTCAGGTACCCACTAAGGCGAGAGGCAACCACACACTGATGTTTCTCTCCCTCTTTCTCCCTCCCTTCCTCTCTCTAAAAATAAAATCTTTTAAAAAAGAACATTAGGATTCTATTTTGGTATCTTTTAAAATACATTGTTGCCCTGATATTTATATTAAGCGGACATCTATTTTCTGGAATGTATAAGTGGGAAATTTTTTGAAAACCAGAAGAGGGCTATTGGCACATTTCTCTTGCTCCATGTGGTGGAGTCAAAAAATACTTATGGCACTGCTGCATTTTTTTCTTGATGGAAACAAGGAGTTTCAGAGTCTGCTTTTCATTAAAATTATAGGGTGGGATGAGTGAAACATTAGCCTGGAGCTTGGAGGTTATCCTGAGAGCACAGGTTTTAGATGTGGGTATGATATGGTCAGAAGCCTCTGTCTTGGATGTGGACAGCCTTGGATGGAAAGGTAATGGAAAAAAGGAGACCCAAAAGGAGTTTCTTATATGTTGTGGGGAGAACTTTTTCTTTCTTTTATTTATTCTTCCATTCGACAAATGCATATTGTATGCCAGATATTCTACATATATTAATTCACTCAATCTGCATAAAAACCCTATGAGGTAGCATGTTACGGATGAAAGTACTAAAGGTCAGGAAGAAACAGGCTACTGGCCTAGAGGATAGTGAGTGGCACAGAGAGTAGACTTGTGCAATGGATGAAAGGTAAAGCTATGCTTGACATGTTTGAGGAACAGCAAGAAAGCCAGCATACCTTAAGAAATGATGAAATAACTGATGGATACCAGGTGAGTAAGTAACTCATGGCCTTGGCCTTAATACTGAGGCATTTCTCAAAAGTTACATTGTAGGCGTAAGCACAGCCAAGATTGGGACTGAAATCCTGCTCTGCACAGGTCACCTGGAGCCAGCCTACAGGTATCTGTAGTTTTATTATTCATTCTTTATCACCTCCTCAAAATTCCTCAAGTACCCATTTGTTTTATGACTGAAGGTCTGAGGTTAATGACAAGAGACTGTGAGATGAAGGATGAGGGGTAGCTGTGGAGTGAATGATGGGAATCTGTGGAATAAGTGATAGGATGTGGGGTGAGTGATGGAAGTGGGTAATTGGGATTTGTGGTGTGAGTGATAAAAGTCTGTGAGGTGAATGATGGGTGGTTTATGGAGCAAAAGAAAGGGTGTTGTGGGGAGAGTAATAGGTGTTTTAAGTGTTATTGGAGGGTCTGTGGGCATGAGCTTTGTGGGGTCTCTTGGGTAAATGATGGGGATCTTTAGGGTAGTGATGGGTGAGTGTATGGGGTCAGTGATGTGGGTCCTTGGAGTTAACAAAATGCCTGTGGGGTGCCTACTCAGGAGGCAAGAGGTTGAGGAAATTCAAGAACTTGAAGATTTGGGAAATTCTCAGCCCATCTCTATTGCAAAACCTGAGAAAGTGTGTTCTAGCAAGAACTCCAAGGGTGTGGTTAGAAGATCACTCCTTCAGAGAGACTGCAGGTGTGTGACTCATGAATATAATCAACCATCTTGGGAATCTCTGGGGTTAGTGATCGGGGTTTGTGAGGTGTATGTGATTGAAGGTCCATATGTAATGAGGATGGGGATCTATGGCTGAGAGAATGGTGGTCTGTAGAATTAGTGAGTGATGGAGGGATCTGTGGGGTCAGTTATGGGGCATCAGTAATTAAAGATCTTTCAGTGTTAGGGTCAAGGACTTTTATTTCTTGGTTTTAAAAATTGCCACCACTGCAAACCTCTTAGGTTCTCTTGGACTTTTGTCCCAACAGCTCCTGGCAGTAGCTCCACACAGCTCCTTTCTTCCCGATTCCTGGCCCTTTTGGTGCCTGCCCATCAGCCTGAGTATTGACAGATCAATTCATTTTGTCCTTTCAGCCTGTGGGAGCAAGAATTGGACTCTTCTGGCAGGTGAATTGTTTGTCGTCAGCCAGCGTTCAAGCCTAGTCCATCCCTCATTAGTTCTACTTGCTCTTGGTTTTTGTGGCTTTGGCATCCAGCAGGCGCTGGGCACGGGTGAGCTGCTTCACAGAATCGAACACGAGGATTCCGGGCAGCACCAGCCACAGGACATTCATGAAAACAAAGTAGAACCAGAAGTAAAGCGGGTGGCCCAGCTCCCCATGCTGGAATCCATCATGGTACTCCGTCAGAAAGTAGAGTAAATCCCCATAGATCTGACCTGTGGGAGGTGGAAGGGAAAGGGGTAAACCCCGTGAGGAGGAAGAACTATTCCACAGAATTTTCCAAGTCATCATTTACAATCTCAGCACTTAGGATCCCCAAATTCAGAGAGCTAAGAATTCTGAATTCATGTGGTTGCAAAGTTCAAAGATCAGAAAAGTGAGAATTCTAGAAATCAGAACCTGAGAATTTCAGAACCCAGGAGAGTTCATATTTCCAGAATTTAAGGAAGCTCAAAATCCTTTAATTCAAGACAGCTCAGGATTCCAGGACTAAAGAGAACTCACATTTTTAGAACTAAAAATAAAGCCAACCATGTAAGAACATAAGAAGACTAGATTTCAGATGAAAGAGGCTCAAAATCCTAAGCCCAGAGGACCAAAGGGCTTCCTGCCAGCATGGACCACCTCATGTAAACTTCAGAGGAGACTTTGTGATGGAGGAGGAGGAGAAATGAACACTTCCTGCTTGAGAAGACAGGCTGAGAGGAGATGGCTGTTCTGGAACTTCAAGGAATGTGTCATGTAGTCTCACTCAGCCCTGGACATGCATAACTGAGAGATCCCACCAACATGGATGCCACTCATGTATTTGCATCCCTGATAATCCCTCCAGCAACGAGTGTGGGCCCACTCCTCACCTAGAGAGACCACGAGCTGTAGGACAAAGCGGAGAGGCTGCTGGCGGAGAAAGGCAACCACCACCCAAATGCTTAGTGGTCCCCACAGTAAAGCTGTCATAGTCTCCATGCATATCACGAAATTGTCATTCCTGTGGGAGAAAGAATGGTGTGACACCGGCATCGCTGTGCTCTGACCACAGGGCACCCCATTAGTGCCCCCTGACTTACCACCACCCCAAACCAATTCAGATATCCCTTGATAGAGGCAAAGACTTACAGGATGTATCGGCTGTCTCCCTTGGCATACTCTTTCCCTGAAGAAGACAAGAGACATACATGGAGAATAAAGGCAGGAAAAGGAACTAAGGGCCTATGTAATAAGGCAGGCTTTATAACCTCTCCATGCCCCCATTTCCTTATCTGAAACGGGGTAGCTGTTTGGATTTTAGAGTTAATATGTATGTACAAGATGATGTGTGCAAACTGAACATAGAACAGTAAGTCTTTCTGTGATTGTATGGTATTAAATATCTGTAGAATAAAAGGAGGCAGGTATAGATGATGGAGTGAATGAAGTAGCCAATGAGAAAGAGGGAAGAGAGGAAGAGGGAAAGAGGGAGGAAGGGGGAGGGAGAGAGAGATAGAGAGAGAAAATGGAAGGTGAAGAGATGAATTAATAAAAGAGTGAGCAGAGAATCAGTAAGAAAAAGGCAGATCACACAATATAAAACAGTCAGGAGACTGGAGTACATTCTTCACTTAAGAGGATTTCCAAATGGTCATTAAGGAAAAGCAAGTTAAAAACATATAATGAGCTATCATTCACATCTACTAGAGGGACTACAATTTAAGAAACACCTGACCATTACAAGTGTCAGTGACAATGTAGAACTCTCATATCCCTCTGGTGAGAATATAAAACGGTGCAGCCATTTTTGAAAACAGTTTAGCAGTTTTTCATAAAGTTAAACACACACCTACCATACAACCCAGCCACTCTTCCATATTTACCCAAGAGAAATGAAAGCAGATGTCCACACAAAAACTTGTATAACATATAACAGTGTTCATAGCAGTTTTCTTCATGAGGCCAAAAAGGAGTACTGCTTATAATAGCAAAAGCCTGGGGGGAAAACCCACCAATACTAGACAAGTGAAATAATTCTGTAACATCTATGCTTTGAAAGCTCTTTACGAACTGATGAGGAATGACCTGGCTTAAAAAAGCAAAGTTCAAAAAGACAGAAAACTGTACTTGAACAACAATTAAATAAATAAATAAGTAAAAAGCGAAGTTCAGAAGTATATATAGCATGTTATCATTTGTTTACACAAAAGGGAAAAATAAAAACAATGATGACAGCAAGTTATAGAGCATGTATTGTCTGCCAACTACTACTACTATTAGTAATAATAATAAACACTTATATGGCATCTACTGTTTGCCAAACACTGTTCTAAGTGCCTTACATATATTTGGGTATTATCCCTCTTTTACAATTGAGCAAACTGAGGCTTCTGTGTAAAATTTATGTGTAAATAAACTCTGGAAAAAAACAAGCAGTTATTAATGGTGGTTAATAATTAGCAAAACTTGGTGGACAGAAGGTAGATTTTCTCTATATACCTCTTTAAATGGTTTGTTTTTTTGACCTATGTGAATATATGTGACATGAAGTTAAGTTAAATTTTTTAACAAATTAATAGAAGAAAAGTTGGTAAGCAGCTAAACATTTAAGCCAACCCCTGCCCAGAAAATTCCCTCCCATAGCACATGAAAGAACTCAGGACTTACAGAGTTGGGACAAGAAGGCTTGGTCTCCAAGAAGGTCCTTGTGGTAGAGACTGAACCAGCCCTCAATCACTAAGTGAATGAACCCACACACTGCAAACCAGCACAGGGACACTCGCCTCCAGCTTCCCAGTGGGATGACAGCAGCACGTCCTGACAACAGCCATGTGGTCACAACTAAGACCCCAGAGGCAGAGAAGAGGCCAGCCAGTATATGCCAGGTAGGGCAATCATTAGGCACAAAGTTGTCCAGTCTCAGGTGCCGAGGCCAGTATGGGTGCAAGGGGCTGGCATTGGTGGCCATATCTTTGTTGGCTGAAGGCTGTGTGTGGATAAGTAGAAAGAAGAAAAGAGTAAGAGGAAAATCTGAACAAATAAAAAGCACAGAGTGAGATCATAAATTCAAATCCAAATTGTTTATTATCATAAATGCAAATGGACTAAATTTATTAGTTAATAGACTTGTAAAACTGGACTAAACACAAAAAGTAATTGTATGCTGTTTTAAAACGTGGCTATAAGGCCACAGGAAGACTGAAATCTTGTTTCTGCCCTCTGGGAGCCATATGATGTGGTAGACACAGTCATCGGACCAGTTCCCTGCCATCAGGGGTCAGTGTCGGCTGAGAAAGACACGGACACCAGGTTGACTCCCATTGGAGGCGTCGGTGTATTGCCGTGTTCAGCGGATAGCTATTCCCTCTCTGCAGCAGGCCAGAAGGGAGAAGACTAATGAGAATTACAATCCTCAGGTTCAATGTGTGGAAAGCCACACGCTTCCCGCAATAGCGTACACTACCTTCAACCTGCAAGAAAAAGGAAAGTGGAAGGCACAGGACTAGCGCTCGTGGCGCTGACAAGGGAAGAGGAGAGTTAAATACAGAGGCCACCAATCAGAACTAGAACCCTCTAGTCCAGCTGCCCAATGAGAAGGAGGACTTTCTGTAGTCCGGACAACCACGCTGTAGCCAGGGGTATCGCGCTGGTGCATGAGGGTGGTAGGAAGGGTGGTGGGGTGGAAGGGAAGGGTCTCGCACAGGCGCGTCTCTGGACGGCCGTTTAGCAATGGAAAGCTAAGGGATGGGGTGGCAGCCCAGGCGTGGGGGCACTCACCCACTGGCGCTGTCAAGAGCGGTTTCTCCTACAGGTTCCTAGTTTTCTTGGGGCTGTCTTGCGGGCTCTGTCAAAACCCTAGTTCAGACCTACTTTAGTTTTTTTCGTCTTACGGAGTTGGCCAATAGAGGGACTGGAAAGGCGGCCCTTGTTGCCCCCAACCAATAGGGGCTCTCTGTGTGCCGTTGGCCCCGCCCTCAAGCATGGTGCCATTTTCGCTGTTGGCTGAGCCACTGTCAGGTGTGTGAAGTCAAGAACTGCCGAGGGTGGTAGGCGTTTCCTGCTTGAAGGCAACCCGCAGCTAGTCTGGGCTTCAGTTTCCCTATCCCTTATCAGTCAGTCATCTGGGAAAGTGGGCAGTCATCCTTATCGTCTGCGGTTAAACCAGCATTGCATTGCGTCCTTTCATCTTTGCCCTGATTTTCTAAGCAGACCAATTAGTTTCCAGACAATCTTTCAATCTTAACGCCTGAATGAGCAATAAAACTATACTAAGACAGATCACATCCTGTACACTACGCCTCTATCCTCTATCCTCTGCTTTAGCGTTCAGGACCTTAGCGGATATCCTCAAGTCTCTCGACTTAAGTCAGAAAAAAGCAATCAAAACTCCTTGAGGGCCACTTGACATAGAGACCCTCAATCTCCCGTGCCAGCTTTAAAGAACCAATCAGAGCTCCACAACTCTTAAGCCAGTGGGCACCCAGATCACACAATTAGAACTCAGACTCATACCATACCTCCTATCCAATCACAGCCCTCAGTCCTAAGGATCAGTAAACATCAGCTCTGTCTTGCTTTCCATTGATTCTATCTCAGTCAGAGCAACCAATCAGAATGGGGATCCCTCAGTTTTCCAGCTTATTGGTATCAGGCGTCCCCCATATGCAACTGTTCAATTTGTCCAGGCCCCACTCAAATGGAGCAGTGCCATCCTCAGACTCATCATCCAATAATAAACAATAGTAAATTAACTATGAACTACTCTAATCACAACCTTCTCCCTGTTCATGGTTTCTAGCTTCCAGACCTTAATCCAGGCTGTGCCCCTTTCCTTACTCACTTCTACTCCCCACTGAGCAGTGAAGAAAGAGTCTTTTGTGTATTTCCTACTTTTATTTGACAATAGCAAACTGTATATAAAAAGGGAGTATGAAGGTGGGGAGTCTGTGGATCTCCTCCACGGTACTTCTCCCAGCATCCCCCACCCCTAGGCCCCAGCAGGAACTACCCCCTTTCCACTTTGTGATGGGGTGGGGATCAGCAGGCATGGAAATTGTGTGTGTCTGTGTGTGAGTGTATGTGTAGATGTGTTGGGGGGTTCTATGATGAAGAGGGGTCAAGAACTAGAGAGGGGGCCTTCCCTCATCCTCCATCAGAGCTGGCACCCTGAAGAGGGATCTTAAGGGAGCTGGGAAGGTCCACAGATGTGCCTCAGGCTATGAGACGGTAGAAGATCCAGCATCCAAAAGTGACCCAGTGACTGGCCCAGCTGAGCTCTGACCACTTGTGGACAGTAAATGCCATGCCGTAGCCCTGTGGGAGAGAAAGAGGTGATGGTCCCACTCAGCAAGAACAAATAAGGCCTCAGGAAAGCCCATCCTTTGCGGAAGGCCATTTCTGTGACTCCACGATAACTTCAGGTGAGGCCCCAGAGAAGAGACTAGGTACATATAAAAGGCAAGCAGCCCTGGCTGGTGTAGCTCAGTGGATTTAGCACAGGCCTGTGAACCAAAGGATTGCGGTTTGATTCCCAGTTAGGGCACATGCCTGGGTTGCAGGCCAGTTCCCAGGGGGGGGACACATGAGAGGCAACCACACATTGATGTTTCTCTCCCTCTCTTTCTCCTTTCCTTCCCCTCTCTCTGAAAATAAATAAATAAAATATTTTAAAAAACAAAAGGCAAGCAGATTTACTTTTTTCCTTTTGTTTTCTTCTTTAAAAACCATTGAAAAAACTAGACAAGACACCCTAGCTGGTGTGGCTCAGTGGATAGAGTGCCAGCCTGCGAGAATCAAAGGCTCACTGGTTCAATTCCCAGTCTAGGGCACATGCTTGGGTTGTGGGCCAGGACCCCAGTAGGGGGCCCATGAGAGGCAACCACACATTGATGTTTCTCTCCCACTCTTTCTCCCTCCCTTCCCCTCTCTCTAAAAATAAATAATTTTTTTAAAAAGGACAAAAATTGGCAAAGGAGGTAAGTAGACCATTCTCAGCAAAGAAAAAACCCAAATGGCTCTTAAACACATGGCTTCACTCATAATCTTCCTCCTGTCAAACTGGCAAACGCATCCAGAAAGTCTGAGAGGCAATCTGTTGGTTGGTGGGGCGATAGACACATTCATACACTGCTGGTGAGAGGGCAAAAAGGTAACTTCTTTATTTCAGCCACCAAGAGTAGATTCTACAGTTGTGTTCATCTGTGTGAATCCACATGGACACGAGGATATTAGCTGCTGTACTGTCATTTGCAGTAGGAAAGGATTGGAAATCACCTGGATGTCCACTGATAAGAGACAAACTGCACTGTGTCATATCCTTACAACAGAAGTAATGAGTGAGGACACTCTGTGTTCTAATGTGGAAGATTTTCAAAGATTTCTGTAACAAAGCAACATGTAGCACCGTGTCATTCATGAGATATCTCTAGGGTAAAAACCAGGGGAAGGGAATGAAAATATATTTTTATATTTGTTTATTATGCTTAACTTTTTAAAGGATATTTTAATAAAATGAATGAAAGTGTTTGCCTGTAAGAGGGCGGTAAGTAGATGGGTAGGAAGAAGACTTGCCCATGAATAAGTTTTTTTTTAATTTTAATATTTTAAAAGATTTTATTTATGTACTTTTAGAGAGGAAGGGAAAGAGAAAGAGAGGGAGAGAACCATCAATGTGTGGTTGCCTCTCATGCACCCTCCACTGGGAACCTGGTCGGCAACCCAGGCATTTTCCCTGACTGGGAATTGAACCAGCGACCCTTTGGTTCACAGGCCCACACTCAATTCACTGAGCTACACCAGCCAGGGTCCCCCGAATATCTTTAACATTGTTTGGGTTTTTGAACCTTATGATATATATTAACTACCTTTTAAGTGTTTTAATTAAAATGAGATAAAAACTTTATTTAAAAGGAAGCAAAACCCAGATTTTGCATACTCAACCAGAATAAAAATTTAAAATAGTTTTTAACGAGCCCTGGCTGGTGTGGCTCAGTGGGTTGGGTGTCGGCCTGAGAACCAAGGGGTCACCGGTTCAATTCCCAGTTGGGGCACATGCCTGGGGTGTGGGCAGTGTCCCCAGTTGGGGGCGTGTGAGAGGCAACTGAGGATGTTTCTCGAATACTGACTGGTGTTTCCCTCTCTCCCTCTTTTCCCCTCTAAGAAATAAAAAAAGTCTTAGAAAAGTTTGGTTTTAATAATAAAAATAATATAAGTTTTATTTTAATTAAAAATAAATATTTAAAAGAGCACAACAGCAATAAAAAAAAAAGAAACAGAACCTGGATCCTTCAAGAGCCATATGAATAAACACTGTTTTTAAAACTGTTTTCCATTTAAAAAGAAGTAAAATCTGGAATGTGCATACTCCACATGAATAAAAATAAAAATAGTATGCACATTTTAGAGATTTTACTTATTTATTTTTAGAGAAAGGGGAAGGGAGAGAGAAAGAGAGGGACAGAAACACCAAAATGTAGTTGCCTCTCGCAGGCCCCCTGCTGGGGACCTGGCACACAACCCAGGCATGTGACCTGACCGGGAATTGAACTGGTAATCTTCTTTGGTTTATGGGCCAGCACTCAATCCACTGAGCCACACAAGCCAGGGCATAAAATAGTATATACATTTTAATATACATTTTTAAGGTAGATTCCAGAGCTTTTACACTCAAGCTAAGTAAAGATAGTTTTCAAAATAAGAAAGAAAACTCGCAAACTCTACCTAAACAAAAATATGATGAAATGAAAAAAGTAAAAGCTGGATTTTACACTCCATCGGTATAAAATAAATCTTACACGTAAACTAAACATATTTTGTGCACTTCACCCAAGTAAAAGAGCCAGCAGTGCAAATCAACTGGAGGGACAATGGAAAAGAAGGACTGGGAGGCATTGGGTGCACAAGCTGAAGACACCACACGAGGTCCTCATGCCTCACCCTCCCTGTTCTGCTTTATCCTCATGGTTCCCACGAGCAGGTGGCATATCCCTGGGCGCCCCCAACCCAGGGCCCCATCTCACCTGCTCCTCTGTGGTATCGTCCACATCGACATCAAACAGGGAGCCCAGGTAGGCCAGGTGGAAGATGGCCAGGGCTCCAAAGAGCAGGTTTAAGGCTCGTACCCCCAGGCCCTGTTGGGGGACAGATGGATTTGATTGGCAGCTGGACCTACTCACTGCCTCTCAGTACCACCTGGAGAGGGGAGCCCAGGGAGATGCACAAAGTGCAGTGGGTTCCAGGAATGAGGACATCCACAACACCCCAGGGGTGGGAAGAGATGGTTCAGAGTTCGAGAGGTATTCAGGGATGAGGGTACTGTTAGTATTGAGGGCATCCAGGTTGACGGAAATGCAAGTATTCAGTCAAAGGAGGCAGAATGGTGGAGCTCTGAGTCAGGGGTTTATGATAATAAACACCAGTTGTCAGATGGGAGGCAAATCCGAAGTTGTCTGTACTTCTCATTGCAAACAGAATAAAACAAACAAAGAAGCAAGCAAACAAAAGCAAATCTCCACCACATCCTAAAGGCCCACCATTCTCCCCCTTGCTCACTTGGCTCAGGCCACACTGGCTTCCTCGCTGTTCCTCAAATATTCCACGCCCTCTCCCTCTCAGGGCCTTTACACTGGTTCTTCCATCTGCCTTGAATGCTTCTGCCCCTCACTCCTTCAGTTAAAGTACTCAAAAGACACCTGCCTGCTTAAAATCGAATCCACTTACCCCCAATATTTCCCTTCTCCTTTCCCTTATGTATTTCCTCCTTGGCAATAATCACAGTCTAACAAACTATTATACTTTACTGACATTTTTTATTTACTGTCTCCCCTGTTAAAATGTTTGTCCCAGAGCACTGAAATTTTATAGTCTGTTT